AATAACAAATGATGTTTAATTTTACGGAACGGGGTTATATGGTGTAACGGGTTTAGATCGATATTAATATTAAACAATATACTTTGGATGAAATCTTAGAATTAAAAATCAAAATTTAATTATAAAATCAGAAACACTAAACAAAATAAACAATATTAACAAAACAAATACAACTTAAAATTTTGTTAAATAATTTTTTAGTTATAAAAAATCGATCCGCGGTGTACCGCGGGATAAAATCTAGTCAATGATATGTTTTCTATCTTTTTTCCGTAACTAATAAATTATGGGTCTTTAGACTTAAGTCCACAATTTTCTTGGCTATCGAATTAAAATAAGTAAATTAGTATTTTTTTCGTTGCCAAATTTAACATGATAACAATATTTGAAGAAGTTCATAATTTTGTATTCGATATGATTCGGCGAATAACTAATCAATCAGGTGAAGTGAGAAAATTATTCAATTTAGTTTTCCCAAGTATGCAAATTAAATTGCAAAAATATGTTATACAGCTCAAGTCTCAAAACCTAATTTCTCATTCGAACTTTTAAGTTTTGACTATTTTATTTTTAATGGATTTGCTATGTGAACAAGCACGACAAGGCGTATGAGTCCTACATTTTTAAAACTAAACACCCCTTAAAAATATGGTGTATAGTCGAAATCAATTAATTGATTTATTTGTATTCAACAGTACACTCTATAGTTTGGAAAGGGGAAATCGGCTTTTTCATACCCCCACAATTGTTTTATGTTAAATTTATACCTAAACTAGATCGTTGTGCTAAAACATACATCTAGTAATAAAATATATGAATTTCATACCTACATTTTATGTTTTGTGCTAAATCATGCATACGCTCTAAATCTTGACTACGTGTAATCCACGTGTGCATGTACGTGGCTTTGGTGTAAGGAAATTGGTTTTTTCATACCTCCACAAAACCAATATGTGAAATTCATACATGAATTTTATACTATTGTGCTAAAACATATCCTAAATAACCAAAAATTTAAATTTAATATAAATCGAAAACTCAAACCGGAACCGACCCGAAAAACTTGGTTCGGATCGTTAATGGATATAACCAAATTACCCTATTGTGTCTTATATATGTCTATTTGTGGATATCGGTTCGGGTCTGGATATTATCTGATACCCGAATGGGTATCTAAATATCCAAAATATTTGTACTCAAAACCCGAACATATAAACGGTTAACGAAAACTACTTGGACAAGTATCCGAATACCCGATATATTTATATATTTTTGAGTATTATGTATCCGATTATGCCCAAACTCTAGCAAAATACTTGAAATTTAACTCAAATCTCCGAAAAACAAACAAAATACTTTAAATGTTTGATTACATAGGGTATATTACAAATCCACGTAGATGCACACGTGGATGCCACGTAATCGACATTAAGGTCGTAAGCATGATTTTGCACAAAACATAAAGTGTAAGTATGAAATTCAAATGTTTCATTAGTGGAGGTATGTTTTAGCACAACTGTTGTATAAATTTAACATAGTGTAATTTATCATTCATTGAAATTTTGACCCAAAAAAAACATTCATAGAAATAACACTTGTCAAATCCAACCAAACCAATTTGCCACCCACATAAGCAATGGTTTATATTGTTACTGGTCAAATATATACTATGTAGGAAGATTTACTTATTTTTAGATAGAACAAATTAAATCCTAATGGTGAAACACGAAGAAAGACATGAAATTAATGTTATGCCTCGAGGAGCTACCCTATACAGACAGACAAGCTTCTAGTATTGACTAAAATACTTTGCATGGTTTAACTAAAAACAATATACTACTAGTATATATGTTCATTGAGTATATATATATATATATATATATATATATATATATTCTACATTGTTTTCGAATCTTCGGAAATACCATAGAACATTTGTATATAATTCAAATAATTGCTAGTAATTAATTTTCCATGCACCTTCATTTTAATTAATCGCAACCTCGTAAATTATTTGTATTAAAGATGCGTACACGAGTTAATTATATATGGAGTCAAACAATAAGGTTATCAAGGACAAGTGAATTTGGGATCTAAAGATAATGGAAGGGTTTAGTATTCTTTTATTCTTCTCCTGACTTCTAAAGGTAAGGGATTAATAACGGGTCTAGCTATGTAACCTATGTTGATCAAAATCACGAAAAAATGATATTTAAACTGAGATGATTAATAAAGAAGAAACCAAGAGTCATTATTATCATAAGCTATGTGCATGTCCTAAATTAAATCTTCGCATCTCCCAATATTATCACCCCTAACTAGGACTACTTGTCGTGTGTGTACGTTGAAAAACGGAGTAAGGCATTGTTTATTTCATGTATTTATTGTATAATTTTTTATTTTTTTGTGCAACATATTTATTGTATGATTATGATGCATTAAGACTTTTAACAAAAAAAAAAAAAAATGATGCATTAAGACATTGTTTATGCGTCATATATTTAAGATAAACATTGCATTGTTTATATTTTAGTTACGGTGTTTCCGAGCGGCCAAGACCCAAGAAACACTCTTTTCTTGGAATTTTTTTGTGTTATGAATAGTCTATTTATATATAGATATCACATATTCACATTCATCAATATTTGTTCTTAAACTTGCAAAACACTAGCAAAATAATAGAACAAATTTATAGTTTTTTAAATCATAAATTAGAAATTCATAAAAATCTTAACGTCTGTGTTTTCAATAATTTCCTAAATAGTTTTTCTTTGCTGATTTATTTATTTCGTTAATATCCTAAAAAAAATATGCATCTAAGTTTTATTTGAACACTGTCAACACACGCAAACATTAGATTCTGTAGCCTATAGTCTCCGCTCAAAAAGGATCATTTTGACTTTTGCTTAGCATATAGAATTTGACTATAAAATGTACGAAAATACTACAAATTCTGGACAGTACTTTTTATGCCTTAAACAAAAAAAAAACAACTAATTCTTAGCAAAAAAAAAAAAAAAACTAATTAAATATACGCTTTATTTTGTTACACATATTAACCATTAACTAGTACAAGTAATAAAATTTTCGTTGTAATATTTAACAAGGCGCAGATGATGTATTGTTTTATCGAGACTGAAAATACAAATAAATTATTCACACATTCGAAATAAAATAAAAATATTGAAAAAAATAAAATGAAAGAGATGCTCGCATTAATTGAATGGAACAGAGTCTACTGTTGATTAAAAAAGAACGATCGAACAGTCCATTTTTTGGGGTCCAGTTTATTTAATTTAGCATTAATAACTTTGTCAGCGCGAGCCACTCTCTATGATTTTGATTCCATCATAAATTATAAAACCAACCAAAATTCATATCAAAATTAATTCCTTTAACCCATTACTAAGCTTTGCTTGTAAATATATGAGACCTGTATATATTCGATTTATTGAAAGTGTCTAAGAATTCAGATTCACTTTGAATATTACCTTTCACGTAATGCATGTATGTAGGATCTTCTGTCATTGTCTTATATATTGTCTTTTTGCATCATAAAAATAGATTGACTTTTTACATATACGCACATAAATAATAGATTTCCATTATTTGAATTCACATCTTACATATATATATACGTGTTTAAGTTAGATTATAATTCAGTAGTTTCGGATTTTTTAGCTATGTTCCATCAACCAATCAGTTTGATTTGGTTAGATAAAATTAACAAAAAAAAACACAAGAAAATTATCAAAGTATGAAAATGTAAGCACAAATGTAATTAAAATTCGTTTTTACGTTTTAAACAGTCAAAAAGTAACTAAAATACAACTTGTTCGTTAACAAATGGTTTTTGCATGAGAGATATATGCAAACTATTTAATTAACTTAATTTTTTTCCATTAGAATTAAATTTTTAATTATTAGGACATTGAAATTAAATTCCGTTAAAATTATTGACCACGTGTATGGTCATAAAAAATTCTGAATTCATGATTCGATCAATATTACGACCTACTACATACGATATGGTGTAATTAACCACATTCTCTTGCTATTTATCACATTAAAAGTTATATAATTTATTCATTATTTACTCCACCACTATTTTCCACGTTCTATGGATGATCATAGATTCATAGTGGAGCCACGCATGAACATGGCAAAAATAGAAATATGCACATGGCCATATATACATTATCGACGTATGTGTCATTCAGGCCAATCCAACTTTGTTGTGGTTCTTTCGTCCTCCTTTGACTTAATTTATTGACAAAAAGAAATTACATATGATTTAGGATAAATCATATGTTATCCTTAATCTTAAATCATTAACTAGCAAAATTTTACTCAATTTTAATCATAAAAGCAACTTTATAAGATAATTAACACATATTTTCCAATGAACAGTCCACATATATATTACTTATGGTGGAGTTCGATGTTTTTTTTTTTTTTTTTGACATCTTTGAATCGATAAGGCCCGATCTATAGCCAATCCTTACTATGCGGGGTAACGCAACTTACTGGAGTCGAACTCCGTGGAGAAGGCGGAGTCAAGTGGACGTAACCACTTGACTAAAAGCACATCCTCGTGGAGTTCGATGTTTAATGTAATTAAAATAAAAATATCGATCATAATTATATATGATAAAATTTTGAAATCCAACATCTGTAAACTATAATGCATTAAATAGATAATATTTATCTGAATAGACTAGATAAGATTAGGCATACTAGCTGAAATGCTGGTAAGATGGTGAAAAGGTTGATGGATATCCGATCCAGTTGGTCCGGGCCTTCGATATTTGGGCTTAAATGGGCCGAAACTAAATTGGGTCGAATATAAAAAGTTGAAATATCTCCAAACATAATTTTGGATGGGAAAAAGCGGGAAGTCGAGAGAGTACCTTATTTATAATTTTCTATAACGAGGGTAGGGCCCACCAAGACCATATTAGCGTAAAGCAAAATCAAACAATTAGGAAAAAAACATTTTTTCGAAATTCGAACCGTAATTAGCCTTTGTTTTTCTCGGAATCTAAAAGGAAAAAAAAAATAGAGAGAAAAAAAAGGAGGAACAGTGAGCAAAATCGTGCGACTGGGAAAATTTTCGAATTTTTCTTCTCTTCCGGCGAGGGATTCAAACTTCCGCCTCCAATTTCTCGCCGTGAATCTGAGTTTTCTTCGTGGAATTTCAATAAAATCAGTCGTCATTCTCCGGCTTCTTGACTCTCGAGAGGTTTATCTACAAGCTTCTTCTCCTCATGGCCTTTTAGGTTCGTATCGTTTATTTTTTTTGCCGTCGTCTATGTGTTACAAAAGCGTAGATGGTTTCTTAGGGTTTTTTTACTGGATCTGCGTAATTTTGGTGGAATTTAAGCTGAATGTATGGGTTGATTTGGTCGACTTTTTGGTTATTTGCTAAGCGAGATGTTGAAATGTGGGAACAAACGACATCATTGTTGAAGCAATTTTGGGCTGTTTGTCTCTCTAATTGGAGGACTAGTCTTATCTGAAATTGAAAGCATTTGATTGGCATTTTATCATAGGAGGGTTTGGTGTCGAATGATGAAGTAAGGTCTTTCATGATTTACCATGGATTAAGAAGTGTATGTGAAGACATTTAATACTGATGCTTACTTTTGTTATTGGCTTACTGCTTCATTTGCTTTAGGGTCTTCTCACTACTATAATTCTGGGAATCGCGTAACCTCTGAGTTGAAATGAGCAGTCATCTGGGACAGGACGCCAATATGAATGGGGTCTATGTTCGATCAGATGTGTCTAGCATGCTGAGTTTTGACGGATCAGATAGTCGTGAAAGCGATGATAGTAAGAAAGGTAATCTTTTCAAACGCTAATTCATAGAAATCCTCTAATTTTATCTTAAGATTGAAACAAGTTTTTGGAAACAGTTGTCTTTCAGAACTTTAGAGTTATGACAGAATTATACAAGCGAATATGGAAAAGTATGATTGATTATCTTGAATGAGTCGTTTCTCTTGCTTGATATGGTTTGTAATATTCCAACTGAGCTTTAGCAGAAATGATTGCCTCTCATATTAGGTGTAGGGGGAAATGGGATGATGTTTTTTGTCCTCACTATTTGTCTATTTCTTCTTAATTTCGCCCACAGGTCATCAGAGTTTGGTGGAGTGGTTAAATGAGACACTTCCTTATCTGAAGTTACCATGGGAAGCTTCAGAGGACGAACTGAGAGCATGCTTGAGGGATGGAACGGTCTTGTGTAGCCTTTTAAATCAGCTTAGTCCTGGGTCAATGAGAATGGTACTTGTGAATTTTCATGACCATTTGGCTTATATATCTTTTGTTTTAAAAGCCTTTAGTTATGTGTCATTTTTCACTTACTTATCTGCTGCTAGACTCACCCTCTTTGGTTATTCTATAGGGAGGCAGCTTTGAGCCTGCTAGTGTAAAAATTGAGCGGTTTCTGACTGCTATGGATGAAATGGCCCTGCCTAGGTTCGAAGTTTCAGACATAGAACAGGTTTGTTATGTTTCATGGATATGATTCTTCGTTTCTGTGGAAAAAATTGATTTCTTAAATATGGAAAGACATGTTGGTTTATATAGAATTATCCCATGTCATATAGATAAAGTGGTTCTAGGGTTGCCACTTTTGCTTTAATGACTCGAACCAATTCAGTGTAGGTATATATTTATGTTAAAATCAGCCTCGTTTTAGATACTTCTGGCCTTCTGGGTGCAACACTTTTTCTAATCATGGCTATTTTCTGATTTGCTATTTTGATGATACGATTGCATATCTTTTCTTCTCTCTGTCTTTTTTTGTATTTCTCTATTGAGTTATGACTCCTAATAAAAAGTAAAAAGCAGGGAGATATGGTGCCAGTTTTACAGTCCCTTAAGGCGCTTAAAGCAAGTTTTTCCGATGGTAGTTATGATAAGAACTCCCTAGCTGCAAGGAGGAGGTGGAGCTTGCCAGAGGACCACTCAGATTCAAGAGGAGATGACCGCAACTTTACTGATGGATTCCAGTCGAAGGAAGGATCTGAGATTGATATATCTGATGCTAAAATTTCGGAATTACTTAAATCAAACAGTTTACGAGTAAAGTTTTCTAACATAATTTTAGTCAATTGTGTCCAACCTCTCAGCTATTGCCTCGGTTTCTGATTCAAATGGCATTTCCTTGGCAGAATGCTCCTACTAGGTCACTGTTTGACATGCTGGACAAGCTTCTAGATAAGAGTATGACGAAGATGAATGGACATGTGTCTCATGTAAGCCAAAGACGGAGCTACTCATAGCACCCTTCTCTTGATTCATGTTTTCTGGGTTTGCCTAGATTTTCATTCCTTGGTTCATGGAATATCACTTCTTATTCTCCATCATGTTTCTCACTGTTTTCGTGTGTTGTTCAGGCTATGGCATCTCTCTTGAGCGCACTTGTGCAAGTGATTGAACAGAGAATCTCAAATCAAGCTGATAACCTAAAGAATGTAAGATTACCAAATTCCTTTCTTCCTTGATTTTTCCCGTAATGTATATCATCCTTCTGACTAAGTCATGAAATATGCTTATGGAATGGGTGCAGCAAAATATACTCTTTCGGGTACGTGAAGAAAAATACAGGTCAAGAATAAAGGTCTTAGAAACCTTGGCAGCTGGGACAACACAGGAAAACGAGGTACTATTGTCTCTGGTTCCAATGTTTCTCTTCATTTTATTTCTGTTTCGCTTACGGAATACTGATTGGTATTGCTATTTTTTGTTGTAGATTGTTACGAACTGTATGGAGCATATAAAGGTAATTGATATTAATATACATCTCCTTCATACATATTTCGCTTTTAGTTTTGTTCTTGCATCTGGAAAAGTTAGTTTACATTAAGCACAATAGTTTTGTGCATATTCCCTGTGGAATATAACCTCTAAACCAATCCTAGATTTCGATAAAGGTTCAGTCTGAGAGATCCTATCATAAAACTATTGTGTGTACGCCTCGGACTTAATAACGCGACTTCATACATCATTTTTCATTTGGATTGTGCATTAGATTTATTTAACACAGATCTTTGCGGTTGTGCTCTGTAGATTTATTTAATCGCAACCTCGTAAATTATTTGTATTAAAGATGCGTACACGAGTTAATTATATATGGAGTCAAACAATAAGGTTATCAAGGACAAGTGAATTTGGGATCTAAAGATAATGGAAGGGTTTAGTATTCTTTTATTCTTCTCCTGACTTCTAAAGGTAAGGGATTAATAACGGGTCTAGCTATGTAACCTATGTTGATCAAAATCACGAAAAAATGATATTTAAACTGAGATGATTAATAAAGAAGAAACCAAGAGTCATTATTATCATAAGCTATGTGCATGTCCTAAATTAAATCTTCGCATCTCCCAATATTATCACCCCTAACTAGGACTACTTGTCGTGTGTGTACGTTGAAAAACGGAGTAAGACATTGTTTATTTCATGTATTTATTGTATAATTTTTTATTTTTTTGTGCAACATATTTATTGTATGATTATGATGCATTAAGACTTTTAACAAAAAAAAAAAAAATGATGCATTAAGACATTGTTTATGCGTCATATATTTAAGATAAACATTGCATTGTTTATATTTTAGTTACGGTGTTTCCGAGCGGCCAAGACCCAAGAAACACTCTTTTCTTGGAATTTTTTTGTGTTATGAATAGTCTATTTATATATAGATATCACATATTCACATTCATCAATATTTGTTCTTAAACTTGCAAAACACTAGCAAAATAATAGAACAAATTTATAGTTTTTTAAATCATAAATTAGAAATTCATAAAAATCTTAACGTCTGTGTTTTCAATAATTTCCTAAATAGTTTTTCTTTGCTGATTTATTTATTTCGTTACTATCCTAAAAAAAATATGCATCTAAGTTTTATTTGAACACTGTCAACACACGCAAACATTAGATTCTGTAGCCTATAGTCTCCGCTTAAAAAGGATCATTTTGACTTTTGCTTAGCATATAGAATTTGACTATAAAATGTACGAAAATACTACAAATTCTGGACAGTACTTTTTATGCCTTAAACAAAAAAAAAACAACTAATTCTTAGCAAAAAAAAAAAAAAAAAACTAATTAAATATACGCTTTATTTTGTTACACATATTAACCATTAACTAGTACAAGTAATAAAATTTTCGTTGTAATATTTAACAAGGCGCAGATGATGTATTGTTTTATCGAGACTGAAAATACAAATAAATTATTCACACATTCGAAATAAAATAAAAATATTGAAAAAAATAAAATGAAAGAGATGCTCGCATTAATTGAATGGAACAGAGTCTACTGTTGATTAAAAAAGAACGATCGAACAGTCCATTTTTTGGGGTCCAGTTTATTTAATTTAGCATTAATAACTTTGTCAGCGCGAGCCACTCTCTATGATTTTGATTCCATCATAAATTATAAAACCAACCAAAATTCATATCAAAATTAATTCCTTTAACCCATTACTAAGCTTTGCTTGTAAATATATGAGACCTGTATATATTCGATTTATTGAAAGTGTCTAAGAATTCAGATTCACTTTGAATATTACCTTTCACGTAATGCATGTATGTAGGATCTTCTGTCATTGTCTTATATATTGTCTTTTTGCATCATAAAAATAGATTGACTTTTTACATATACGCACATAAATAATAGATTTCCATTATTTGAATTCACATCTTACATATATATATACGTGTTTAAGTTAGATTATAATTCAGTAGTTTCGGATTTTTTAGCTATGTTCCATCAACCAATCAGTTTGATTTGGTTAGATAAAATTAACAAAAAAAAACACAAGAAAATTATCAAAGTATGAAAATGTAAGCACAAATGTAATTAAAATTCGTTTTTACGTTTTAAACAGTCAAAAAGTAACTAAAATACAACTTGTTCGTTAACAAATGGTTTTTGCATGAGAGATATATGCAAACTATTTAATTAACTTAATTTTTTTCCATTAGAATTAAATTTTTAATTATTAGGACATTGAAATTAAATTCCGTTAAAATTATTGACCACGTGTATGGTCATAAAAAATTCTGAATTCATGATTCGATCAATATTACGACCTACTACATACGATATGGTGTAATTAACCACATTCTCTTGCTATTTATCACATTAAAAGTTATATAATTTATTCATTATTTACTCCACCACTATTTTCCACGTTCTATGGATGATCATAGATTCATAGTGGAGCCACGCATGAACATGGCAAAAATAGAAATATGCACATGGCCATATATACATTATCGACGTATGTGTCATTCAGGCCAATCCAACTTTGTTGTGGTTCTTTCGTCCTCCTTTGACTTAATTTATTGACAAAAAGAAATTACATATGATTTAGGATAAATCATATGTTATCCTTAATCTTAAATCATTAACTAGCAAAATTTTACTCAATTTTAATCATAAAAGCAACTTTATAAGATAATTAACACATATTTTCCAATGAACAGTCCACATATATATTACTTATGGTGGAGTTCGATGTTTTTTTTTTTTTTTTTGACATCTTTGAATCGATAAGGCCCGATCTATAGCCAATCCTTACTATGCGGGGTAACGCAACTTACTGGAGTCGAACTCCGTGGAGAAGGCGGAGTCAAGTGGACGTAACCACTTGACTAAAAGCACATCCTCGTGGAGTTCGATGTTTAATGTAATTAAAATAAAAATATCGATCATAATTATATATGATAAAATTTTGAAATCCAACATCTGTAAACTATAATGCATTAAATAGATAATATTTATCTGAATAGACTAGATAAGATTAGGCATACTAGCTGAAATGCTGGTAAGATGGTGAAAAGGTTGATGGATATCCGATCCAGTTGGTCCGGGCCTTCGATATTTGGGCTTAAATGGGCCGAAACTAAATTGGGTCGAATATAAAAAGTTGAAATATCTCCAAACATAATTTTGGATGGGAAAAAGCGGGAAGTCGAGAGAGTACCTTATTTATAATTTTCTATAACGAGGGTAGGGCCCACCAAGACCATATTAGCGTAAAGCAAAATCAAACAATTAGGAAAAAAACATTTTTTCGAAATTCGAACCGTAATTAGCCTTTGTTTTTCTCGGAATCTAAAAGGAAAAAAAAAATAGAGAGAAAAAAAAGGAGGAACAGTGAGCAAAATCGTGCGACTGGGAAAATTTTCGAATTTTTCTTCTCTTCCGGCGAGGGATTCAAACTTCCGCCTCCAATTTCTCGCCGTGAATCTGAGTTTTCTTCGTGGAATTTCAATAAAATCAGTCGTCATTCTCCGGCTTCTTGACTCTCGAGAGGTTTATCTACAAGCTTCTTCTCCTCATGGCCTTTTAGGTTCGTATCGTTTATTTTTTTTGCCGTCGTCTATGTGTTACAAAAGCGTAGATGGTTTCTTAGGGTTTTTTTACTGGATCTGCGTAATTTTGGTGGAATTTAAGCTGAATGTATGGGTTGATTTGGTCGACTTTTTGGTTATTTGCTAAGCGAGATGTTGAAATGTGGGAACAAACGACATCATTGTTGAAGCAATTTTGGGCTGTTTGTCTCTCTAATTGGAGGACTAGTCTTATCTGAAATTGAAAGCATTTGATTGGCATTTTATCATAGGAGGGTTTGGTGTCGAATGATGAAGTAAGGTCTTTCATGATTTACCATGGATTAAGAAGTGTATGTGAAGACATTTAATACTGATGCTTACTTTTGTTATTGGCTTACTGCTTCATTTGCTTTAGGGTCTTCTCACTACTATAATTCTGGGAATCGCGTAACCTCTGAGTTGAAATGAGCAGTCATCTGGGACAGGACGCCAATATGAATGGGGTCTATGTTCGATCAGATGTGTCTAGCATGCTGAGTTTTGACGGATCAGATAGTCGTGAAAGCGATGATAGTAAGAAAGGTAATCTTTTCAAACGCTAATTCATAGAAATCCTCTAATTTTATCTTAAGATTGAAACAAGTTTTTGGAAACAGTTGTCTTTCAGAACTTTAGAGTTATGACAGAATTATACAAGCGAATATGGAAAAGTATGATTGATTATCTTGAATGAGTCGTTTCTCTTGCTTGATATGGTTTGTAATATTCCAACTGAGCTTTAGCAGAAATGATTGCCTCTCATATTAGGTGTAGGGGGAAATGGGATGATGTTTTTTGTCCTCACTATTTGTCTATTTCTTCTTAATTTCGCCCACAGGTCATCAGAGTTTGGTGGAGTGGTTAAATGAGACACTTCCTTATCTGAAGTTACCATGGGAAGCTTCAGAGGACGAACTGAGAGCATGCTTGAGGGATGGAACGGTCTTGTGTAGCCTTTTAAATCAGCTTAGTCCTGGGTCAATGAGAATGGTACTTGTGAATTTTCATGACCATTTGGCTTATATATCTTTTGTTTTAAAAGCCTTTAGTTATGTGTCATTTTTCACTTACTTATCTGCTGCTAGACTCACCCTCTTTGGTTATTCTATAGGGAGGCAGCTTTGAGCCTGCTAGTGTAAAAATTGAGCGGTTTCTGACTGCTATGGATGAAATGGCCCTGCCTAGGTTCGAAGTTTCAGACATAGAACAGGTTTGTTATGTTTCATGGATATGATTCTTCGTTTCTGTGGAAAAAATTGATTTCTTAAATATGGAAAGACATGTTGGTTTATATAGAATTATCCCATGTCATATAGATAAAGTGGTTCTAGGGTTGCCACTTTTGCTTTAATGACTCGAACCAATTCAGTGTAGGTATATATTTATGTTAAAATCAGCCTCGTTTTAGATACTTCTGGCCTTCTGGGTGCAACACTTTTTCTAATCATGGCTATTTTCTGATTTGCTATTTTGATGATACGATTGCATATCTTTTCTTCTCTCTGTCTTTTTTTGTATTTCTCTATTGAGTTATGACTCCTAATAAAAAGTAAAAAGCAGGGAGATATGGTGCCAGTTTTACAGTCCCTTAAGGCGCTTAAAGCAAGTTTTTCCGATGGTAGTTATGATA